TAATTTTTGACCAAAACATAAAAATTTTACGCCCAATTTTTATACTTAAATATTATTATTTCAGTAGGGTTATATTTAAAATAAATTGAAAATTACAACAAATTATAAGCTCACTTTATGTTTAAAGTTTAATAAAGAAAGCTTTTGAATTTAACGTATTTTGTTTTAATCTTTCAAATTTTATCTAGTCTAAAAAATAATAATAGTCGTATATATCATGGAAAAGTAGAAAAAAAAATATAAAAATATAAACAGAACATACGTAAACTGAAAAGAATAATAATAAAGAAAAATGAAACAGAAAACGTAAGATGATTAAAACAATAAAATAAAATAAACAACAAGAAAAAAAAGAAGAAGAAGACGAGAAACAGAGTGTCCAAAAAGAATAAAAAAAAATATAAAAATAAATAAATAAATAAAGGATAAAGTAGAAAAAAAAAAACGTAAAAAAATAAATATAATACAAAGAGACAAAACAAAATTTTTTTTAAAAAAATAAAAAAATTAATAAAACCAAAACGTAAAAGAAAAAAAAAAGTAAGGAAAACAAAAATTAAAAATCAAGAAGGAAAAATCTTTCTAAAACATAGTCCTAATCTATTTAGAATTTTTTTGCTAAAACTAATTCCAGATCACATAAAATTTTATTTCTATTTTTAAATCTAACTAAAAAAAAATACAATCCTAAAATACTCAAACTCAAAAAAAAAATCTCAATCCTACACAAATTCTAATTCCTAGCAATTAGATACCTATATGTTTTCTATCCACAAATAAAAAAATAAATAAATACAAATACATGAAAAAGAAAAGGAGAAGAAAAGAAATTACAAGACAATCAAGATTTGTAAATATCCATCTATTAACTTTACTTTATTATGTTTGAATAAATTTATGTGATATACATTCTTTTTTAATTAACGAAAATATATTAATATAATATGAATAGGTTTAAAATAAACCAAATAATGAGGTAAATAACTTTTATTATTAAGTTAATAATACAATATCTGAAAATTAATTTAAGTCATATATAGTCAATGAAGCGACCGTGCTAGAACCACGGGACTCGAGGGGTGCCTAATACCTTCCCCTTGGTCAACAGAATTCCTTACCCGATCTTTGTTCTCGCAGACCAATAAAAACAAAGAGTCAAATTTCCTTTTGATTAGGGGTTTAAATAATAAGGTGACTTGGAACATCAAAACTCAATTCCAAGTGGCGACTCTGAATAATAAAATAATCCCTTTTCAAAAATGTCACTTTAATTGGAGAAACTCTTTTTCTTTCAAAACTTAAATTGAATTAATTTTGAGGAAAAAAAAAGGGGTGTGACAGATGGCGACTCCGCCGGGGAATAACCAGAATTCGAGCTTATAATATTGACTTATATATGACTATTTACTTAATTATTTATGTTTTGGATATTGTATTTGTTGGCTGACTGTGCTAATTGTTTACTTTTTTACTATTTTAATATTATTTGCATTGCATTATAACTGTCTTTTCTCGCGCACCCCTCTGAGTCTTCTATAATACAATTATGGGAATTGCGACTGCGCACCCCACTTCTGTTAAGATAGCCAGTGGATCTTCGGTCCATGGCGAAGGATATTTAGTCATACATGTTTAGGATAGGGAGCACCCATGCACAAAGCCGAAAAGCACTGCTACCGGTACGTTGCTACTCCCTAACTCGAGTTGTCCGCTCGTTTTACAGCCAGTCTAGATACCTTGCTCCACAAGTTCAACCTTAGTAGAACTGAAACCTCCATACATGATATACTTACTAGGTTTCGCTTTATCTGCATCATGTGCATTTAACTTAGCAAGACTCGGCATGGGGGCCGGGTCTGTCTAGGACAGGTACCTGTTCTTGAGACCATCATGTACATTTTTGTGCTACTTGTTGCATCATGTAGAAGACTATAACAAATGTTGACCGGCTTTAAATAATTGACTAAAAGAAGAAAACGTCTATTTTTACCCACTTTCAACAAATAATTCAAGATAAACAAAGTGAAAATAATATATATATATATATATATATAACCCTCAATTGTATTCTCGCTTTTATCAAAACATCAAGTTTTTACAACAAATAAAAAATAAAAATAAAAATAAATATATAAATAAAAAAGGTTATAGTAAAAAAAATAAAAATAATGCAATAAAATAAATTATTATATATATGTATGTCTTTAAATTTGTTTCATATAGGGCATATCCACCTTCTTTTTATTTCTTTTTCTTTCTGTTCTTCATAATTCACTTGTCAAAATTATCTCTTTATCCGGTCATTTTCTCTTAAAACAACCTAGGCTTCCCTTAAGGAAGGTCAACAAAAGTCGTTTTCGAAAGAATGACCAATTTAGGCATTCTGAGTCATTTTTCATATATTTTTTATTATTTTTACTACTTCAACAAATGATTTCGAATTATCAAAATTTCATAAGTTAAATTTGGTTTTAAATCGCGAGTTTCTTTTCCTAACCAGGTAACCATGAAATCTATTAGATGTGATAAAAGACCAAGGGATGAAGCAGTCGAAATGGTTAATGATCCCCCAAAGTTCATGATCACGGATAAAACCCCACCACTACTCATGGCTTGGTGGAACGATATGCATGAGTTTAGGCGAACTGAGATATTCAAACATCTTGGTTTCCTCACAGATATCATGAGATTTAGTCCTGACAGAGATTTGATCGAGGCTTTGATCCCTTTTTAGGATTCTTCAAGCAATGTGTTTCGCTTTAGCGATTTTGAGTTGACGCCTACATTGGAGGAGTTGGGTGGTTTCACAGGGTTAGGCAAGGATCTCCGAAGCAAAACACTCATAGCCCCAAGAAACGTCAGCGGGAACAAATTTTTAGAACAAATGCACATCATCTATCCTCATAAGGAGTGTTTCGATAATGGGTTGGTTTCCTTGGAATTTCTATACTCAAGATATGGAAAGAAAGAAGGATTTTCAGACTACGGGAAACAACTTAAAAATGGGCAACACCTCCCTACTTGGGAAAAACATAGACAAGAAGCATTCATGGTGGCCTTTTTGGGAACCATGGTTTTTCCAAGAAGGGATAAAAAAATCAGTATTCGTCTATCGGGAATAGTCGCTGTTATGATGAAGAAAAAGAAATCCACTATCTTGCCAATGATGTTGGCTGACATTTATCGTGCTTTGACTAAATGTAGAGAAGGGGAAGACTTTTTTGAAGGTTGCAGCATTCTATTGCAAATGTGGTTTTTGGAGCACTTGTATCGCCATCGTTTTGCAACAGATTTCAAATCTGAATGGACGAATTATATTTTGAGCCACCCAGACAGGATGAAGGAATTAGTAGACAAATTGCCAAAAGGTGTCAAAGCGTGGAGACATTATCTTCTTAAATTAACTGCATCTGATATTACATGGAACTATCATTGGTTCCCTGCAAGTGATGTAATTGTTATGTCTTCCTATCGTCCATTCTTTGTTCTAACGGGCCTTCGAGGATTCCAACCATACATACCCCTTCGGGTGCTACGCCAACTAGGACAAAAACAAATCTTACCTAGGGCCGAGGATACACAGAGTTTCGTATGAGAGGTGTCGTCTGAAGATCGAGATCGAGAATTAGAAGCTTAAAAGATTTGGGGTGGTAGTCGAACTTTAAGCTTGAAAGCTATGGTAGACGATCGTGTTGAAGGAGAAGTAGACCCCTCATACCTCCATTGGTTCTTTGATCAAGCCCCCCTCAAAGTAATGCCCGAAGGATCAGCGCGAGAACTCAGAGATCGAGAAGAGGAAATTGAAGTCAGAATCAAGCAAGCTCGGCTCGAGGTGGAAAGAAATTACAGGTCTACTCTGGATATCCTAAGTAATGATCTAAAGAATGCTAGAGAAGAGTTGGCTCAACGTGATGCAATATTCAAAGAAAAAGTTAGGTTGATTCAGAAAAGGGCTGAAAAAGAACATCAATCCACCATTCGAATCTTACATGAGGATTTGGGCATTGTCACAGGCGCTATGGAGCAACAAGAGGAGGAGTATAAAAAAGAAAAGACCCTCTTAATGCACACACGGGCTAGACTACAAAATCAGTTAAAAGCTTCGATGGGACGAGAAACAGACATAGCCAAGCGTTTCACATCGTATCAAACAGAAGTCACAATCGAGAGAAACCAATGGATGGAGGAGCGTGAAGAACTTCATAATCAAATCGAAGAGCTTCAGGCACATGAAGAGGATTTGACCCACAGGGTTGATACTACTCAAGAATGGTTGCAAAATTGTCACGAGAATATGGAGAAGGCCAAAGGACAAGTGCTTCAGCTGACAGAGAGCTTGATTGATGTTTATGGTGGTTATCTACATCAGAGTGATGAGAGCCTGGGTCGACATGCGCGTGCACTGGCCCCACATCTACCAAAAGCTTTGTTCAAGGTTTACTCTAGCCTAGGGGGCAACTGATGATCGAGAAATATTAGAGAAGGATTTTTTTTAGAATTATTATTATTATTTCTTTTATTTTCATTTTTTGTCGAAGTTTGTTTCAATCTTTAAGTACTTTGATGTTTTGGTTATTTATTTTAAGAACATTTTGATTTGAATGATATCTTCATATAAATAAATGTCATGTTTTCTTTTTTTTAATAATTCTTCTTCACGAACTACGTAATGATCTGATTCATGTTCAACATGATACGTAGGCAACCTTCAACAGGTTCGATCAAAATGCGTTCAAAATATTCAGATGAGTAAAGTATGGGACTAAAAGACATAAGTAAGTCGTCCAAAGCCGGGATGAAACATAAAAGTCTTCCAAAACTCATTGTAGAAATAGGAATAATTTAGGTGCATAACATACAACGTGTTATTAATATTGCAAAGTGTTGAATCCTAACACATTTGTTTTTATATATAAGAGAGAAAGAGTTTAAAGGTGGTTGGTTTGTGAAGAAAGCTGGCATCTCATCAATATAACACAAGATTAAAAGGGAAAGCAAAAATGACACGCAAAGACGGAACAGAGTCGGGAAATGATGAAGTCCAAAATCAAATGGTTGCACAAGAGTCGGTATCTGTAGAAGAGGTCAAGATGTTGAGACAACAGATGGCCGAAATGTATGAAGCTTGGATGAATGGACAGGCTCCCCCATCTTCAATTTGGGAATACCTGAATGTAAATATGCCATTCCCCATTCAAGTCTCAACAAGTGACCCGATTTATCCACCTGGATTTGGACCCTACGTTAATACATCTAATACTGCTGGAACTTCCTCGGTACACCCGTTGAATCCACCCATGATGAATAATCCACTCTTCATGCCAATTGTGCAAACTAATGCAAATCCTCAACCAACACTAGTACAAAAATCCAATGATGATCCTATACCCAAAGATCAATATGGCCAAGGTCAGACCCCTAAATTGACTTTCAAAATTCCTGATTCTTACCACCACACTCATCAATACAGTACCCCCGTTGAGGTTGAAAAAACTATTAAGGACGAGGAACATGAAGAAATTGCAAGAAAAATGAGGAGTTTGGAGCAAAACATAAGGAATATGCAAGGGCTGGGAGGACACAAAAGTGTCTCGTTCAAGGACTTATGCATGTTTCCAGATGTTCACTTGCCTATAGGGTTCAAAACTCCAAAGTTTGATAAGTATAACGGTCATGGCGACCCAGTGGCTCATTTGAAAAGATTTTGTAATCAGCTAAGGGGAGCCGAAGGAAAAGAAGAACTTCTTATGGCTTACTTTGGAGAAAGTCTAACGGGTGTAGCCTCAGAATGGTTTATCGATCAAGATATTTCTCGATGGCATGTCTGGGATGACATGGCGCAAGATTTTGTCCAACAATTCCAATACAATATTGATATCGTTCCGGATCGCAATTCCCTAGCTAATATGAAGAAGAAATCGTCTGAAAGCTTTAGGGAATATGCCATAAGATGGAGGGAGCAGGCGGCTAGAGTCAAACCGCCGATGAAAGACTATGAATTGATTGATGTTTTTCTCCAGGCACAAGAACCTGATTACTTTCATTACCTTCTTGCTGCAATAGGGAAGCCTTTCGCCGAAGCAATTAAGATCGGAGAAGTGGTAGAGAATGGCATAAAATCGGGTAAAATTGTAAGCCAGACAGCTATTAGAGCTACCACACAAGCAATTCAAAGCGGGTCAGGTAATTTTGTATATCGAAAAAAGAAAGAAGAAGGGTCCATGGTGACGTCTGGATCGAGAGGTATTCAAATGAGCATGAACCACCCTTATGTTCAAGTCCAACAAGAACAATCTAATTCTCCTCAACATTATTACCCATCCCAATATGCAGTCCTCAACACTCAAGCATATATCCGACCTCCTCAACGCCAACAATGGCGGGCACCTGCCCCACAAGGTTCTCGCCCTCAACAACAAAATTTTCAGGCACCCCATAATCCACGTCCCCGGATGGATTATACAAGAGAACAAGGTCGAAAAGAAAACTTTACCCCAATTGGAGAGTCATATACGAGTTTGTTGCGGAAATTAGTACAATTAGGATTGGTTGAACCTGTCAATCCCTATTTTGTCAATCCGAATGCAAGAGGCTTTGATCCAACTGTTATATGTGAGTATCACGCTAACACTCCAGGTCATAGCACAGAGAATTGTTGGACTCTAAAAAGAGTCATTGAGAAGTTGATTGAGGATAAGGTAATTGAGATACATAATGAGGAGGCGCCAAATGTCACCAATAACCCACTCCCTGCTCACAATAAGGAGCATATTGTGGGGATGGTAGACATTTATGAAGATTGTGAGCAAACATGTAGAACAAAAATGGAAAGCAGAGATTCAAAAGAAGAGTCGAGTATGGTTTTAGAACCCATACAAAAGGCACCGATAATTGTGAATGGTGCAAGTTCAAATTTTGGAGACTCGAGAAAACTTGTGTTGTATGTCCCTGGAGCTGTAAAAAGAAGAGAAGTACCGTTGAATGGACCAAAATTATACATTCCTGGTAAGCTTCGAGCATTTGGTCAAAATCAAGAAAGCGTGAAAGAGCCAGTTGTGATACAAATTGCAACACAACTTCCGATGACAAACACCAAGACCGTTCCATGGAATTACAACAAAGTCGTTGTTACCCACAAGGGAAAGAAGATTGTTGAAGAGACAAATGAAATAAGAGGATTAACTCGTTCTGGGAGGTGTTATGCTCCAGAAGAATTAAGAAGAGACAAACAAGCCAAAGAAAATCAGTTGCCGGTTAAAAAACCTGTCACTGAGGAGGAGGCTGAAGAGTTCTTGAAAAAAGATGAAAGCTCAAGATTATTCTGTTATTGATCAATTGAGGAAAACACCCGCTCAAATATCCTTGTTGTCATTACTCATACATTCTAAAGAGCATCGTGAAGTTTTGACCAGAATCTTGAATGAGGCACATATCTCAGAAAGTATCACGGTGGGTCACTTGGAAAAGATGACCAACCGAATATTTGAGGTAAATAGAATCACTTTCCCTGATGATGAATTGCCTTTGGAAGGATCTGGGCATAATAAGGCGTTACATTTAACCGTGAAATGTGAAGAACACTATGTGAAGAGGGTCATGGTCGATGGAGGATCAGGTGTAGACATATGCCCTCTTTCTACTTTACAAAGGTTGAAAATCAACACAGATAGAATTCGTACTAACAATGTCTGTGTGCGTGCATTTGATGGCGCAAAACGGGACACTCTTGGTGAAATATACTTAACTGTTACAATTGGACCAGTGGAGTTCGGAATCACTTTCCAAGTAATAGACATGGACACTTCTTACAATCTACTTTTGGGTAGGCCATGGATCCACCTGGCTAGAGCTGTGCCGTCTACTCTGCACCAAGTGGTCAAGTTTGAGCATGACAAACTGGAAATCATTGTCCATGGTGAAGATGATCTCCCAATCACCCGAGATCCGTCAATACCATGCATTGAGGCCAAAAGAGGTTGTGAATCCCTCAACTATCAGGCTTTTGAGATTATAACAGTCAATCAGTTTTCGGTAGGGAAACCTATACCACAACCTCATCTATCATCTGCTTCAGTCATGGTGGTGTCCCAGATGGTACAAAACGGCTATGAACCTGGAAAGGGACTAGGGTTGTCTTTGCAAGGAATTGTAGATCCCATCAATCCGATGGGTAATCAAGAGACATTCGGTTTGGGTTTCAATCCAACTAGATTTGATAGAAAATGGGCAAAAGATCGTAAAAGAAATGTTTGGAATTTGTTGAAGCCAATCCCTCATATTGCTCAATCTTTCGTTAAATCTCGAGGTGAACCGAGTCCAGACTTCTCTGTCCAGAATGATGTTGATGAAATATGTCAAGGTATCAAGGAAATGTTTTATGACGTAAACATGACTCAGATGGGTGAAGGCACTAGTCACATGGATGTGCAATTCATCGGCCGGAATGTCCAGCTCAACAACTGGGAAGCCACTCCTCTCCCTACAAGGAGGGAGTCTTGTTACGTTAATGTCGACTTTAATAATATGACATGCATGCGGAGTTTACAGTTAGATCCTAAAAAGTTGTCTGATCTCGAAACAATGAATCCAAAGTTTGACGAATATGATGAAGATGAAGCTTACGAAGAAATAAAAAGGGATTGGATCAATTTGAAAATAAGCCTAAACCTAATTTAAGTGAAACTGAGGCGGTTAATTTAGGAACTCCTGAAGAAGTGAGAGAAATAAAGATAAGTATTCATATTGATCAGAACATTCGAGACGACATAATTCAAGTTTTATTTGAATACAAAGACGTCTTCGCGTGGTCCTACGATGACATGCCGGGTTTAAGTGCTGATTTAGTAGTTCACAAACTTCCAATACATCTTGATTTTCCACCTGTCCAGCAAAAGCAGAGAAAGTTTAAGACAGACATGAGCGATAAAATTAAAGAGGAAATCATGAAGCAATTGACTGCAAATGTGATCAGAGTTGTCCAATACACTACCTGGTTGGCTAATGTTGTGCCAGTACCAAAGAAAGATGGAAAGATCAGAGTTTGTGTTGATTACATAGATTTAAACAAAGCAAGTCCAAAGGACAATTTTCCATTACCCAATATTCACATCCTGGTTGATAATTGTGCTAAACACGAGATTCAATCTTTTGTGGACTGTTACGCCGGATATCACCAAATTCTCATGGATGAAGAAGATGCAGAAAAAACTGCTTTCACCACCCCATGGGGTACATATTGTTATAGAGTCATGCCATTCGGTCTGAAGAATGCGGGAACAACCTACATGAGAGCTATGACTACCATATTCCATGACATGATGCATAAAGAAGTTGAGGTATATGTCGATGATGTCATCATTAAATCTAGAACGCAAGTCGACCATGTGCGTGATCTAAGAAAATTCTTGAAAGATTGAGAAAGTACAACCTCAAGCTTAATCCAGCTAAATGTGCATTTGGAGTGCCATCTGGCAAACTTTTGGGTTTTATAGTTAGTCGAAGAGGTATTGAATTGGACCCGTCTAAGATAAAGTCCATTCGAGAATTGCCACCTCCAAAAACCAAAACTGAAGTCATGAGTTTTTTGGGAAGGTTAAACTATATCAGCAGGTTCATTGCTCAACTCACCGCCACATGTGAGCCGATATTCAAGTTGTTGAAAAAGGACGCTGCTATCAAATGGACAAGTGAGTGTCAGGAGGCTTTTGACAAAATTAAGGAATATTTAGCAAACCCTCCGGTATTGGTCCCACCAGAGTCTGATAGGCCGTTATTCTTATATCTTTTAGTGATGGATAATTCATTTGGTTGCGTTTTAGGACAACATGACATTACGGGAAAAAAGGAACAAGCCATTTATTATTTGAGCAAAAAGTTCACAAGCTATGAGGCAAAGTACACTCTGTTAGAAAAGACTTGTTGTGCTTTGACTTGGGTTGCCCAAAAATTGAAACACTATCTTTTGTCATACACGACCTATCTTATATCTCGAATGGATCCTTTGAAATATATTTTTCAAAATCCATGCCAACAGGTAGGTTGGCAAAATGGCAGATTTTGCTTACGGAATTTGATATTATTTATGTCACTCGGATCGCCATGAAAGCACAAGCGTTGGCCGATCATTTAGCAGAGAATCCGGTCGATGATGAATACGAGCCCCTAAGGACATACTTCCCTGATGAAGAAATCAACTCTATTGAGGAAGAAATTCCTAATGATGGTCATGTGTGGAAATTATATTTTGATGGGGCTATTAACAAAAATGGAGTAGGAATTGGGGCAGTTCTTATCTCACCAAACGAATGTCATTATCCTGCCACAGCACGACTTTGATTCTTTTCTACCAACAACACAACAGAATACAAAGCTTGCATCATGGGTTTGAATATGGCAATAAATCTGGATGTGCAGGAGTTGGTGGTTTTAGGGGATTCCGATTTGCTCATTCGACAAGCACGAGGCGAATGGGAGACTCGAGACATTAAACTCATGCCGTACAAACAATGTTTAGAAAACCTCATCAAAAGATTCAAGT